TAAAATTCAACGAAAAACAATGCCACAGCTTATTTCAACCACATACTTTACAGCTGAGCGAAGATCTGTTATTCTACGATGTAACGGTAGTTTTTTTTTCTATGCTTTAGTCATTGTTTTCGCAATATGGTGAAATATATTTTTGCTAAACTTTGAGAGTGGATCTTGCAGAAAAGTGTATTTAGCGAAATGGGCCCACGCACTACTATTGAGCAGCGAGAACTTGTTCTCAGGCACTTTAAAGCGGGCTATTCCCGCAGGAAAATTGGAGAGATGGTTGGACTTAATGATTCCACAGTCCAGAGCATCATTTATCGATTTGTTCGTGAGAACAGAACCCATGATAAGGGTAGAAATGCTCCAAATAAAATTTTTAATTCTACGGATGAGCGCTATATTGTTCGGAAAATCCAGGAAAACCCAAGATTATCAGCTCCAAAACTGGCCAATGATGTTGAGGCAGAGTTGGGCAAGTCATGCCACCCAGAAACAATTCGTCGCGTGCTTCGGGAACACGACTTTAATGGCAGAATACCACGCAAGAAGCCTTTTATAAGCGAGAAAAATAGGACGTGTCGCCTTAAGTTTGCCCGGGAGCACTTGTACAAGGATAACGATTTCTGGAGTACAGTGTTATTTTGTGATGAGTCCAAATTTAATATTTTTGGATCAGATGGAGCCTCATATGTGTGGCGTAAGCCAAACACAGAACTCGATTCAAAAAATTTAAGGGCTACAGTTAAGCATGGCGGTGGCAACGTAATGGTATGGGCCTGTATGTCAGCAGCCGGCGTCGGAAACTTACAGTTTATTGAGACGACAATGGACAAAACTAAATATCTTGAAATATTGAAGTCCAATTTGATTGAAAGTGCCGAGAAACTGGGCATAAGGGACGTCTTTAGGTTTTACCAAGACAATGACCCAAAGCATACGGCGGGCATTGTGCAGACCTGGATGATATGGAATTGTCCGCATGTTATGAAACCGCCAGCCCAGTCACCTGACTTAAATGTCATTGAAAATTTGTGGTCAATTTTGGATGCAAACATTCGAAAACGCAAAATTTCAAACATTTCCGACCTCAAAACAGCATTGATTGACGAATGGTCCAAAATTACGCCACAAGTGACACAAAAGTTGGTCGAATCAATGCCAAAAAGGCTCAAAATGGTGGTTGATCAAAAGGGTGGTCACACCAAGTATTAAATTTAGTTAATTGATCAAAAACGTAGTTGTAATAATGTAATACATTAAGTGGTTGAAATAAGCTGTGGCATTGTTTTTCGTTGAATTTTCAGTTTTTAATTATTATAAAATGTTAGAAAAATACTTAAAAAATATATGAAGTTAAATTTTGTAAGTTAAGTCATCAGACTAACTAATTGCGTTTAAATTATTTTGATATCCCTTTTAGTTAAGATTTTACAGAGGCTACAATTTTTTTAAGGGTGCTGGTTGAAATAAGCTGTGAGCCACTGTACATACACCCACACAGACGCAATTGCTATGTAAATGTGCAATTATAAACCCTTTACGTGAGTTCGAATAGCGAGAAAGGTAAAATCGATCCAATTTTTTTTTTATTTTCTTAATTTTTTTATTTTCTATAATTATTGTAAACATATGTACAGAGTATTTCAAAGCTTTTTTACTTGTTTAAATAAAGAGTTACAGAATGAAAAGAAAACATATGTATACATATGTACATATATGTATTTTTATATTATGATATTTAGCATGATTTTATTTCAATAAAAAAGGAACTCAGATATCTTAAAAAAATCAAATTAATATACATTAAAATAGCATAACCTTTTTTAATTGAAATAAAAAGGAAGGTATTTCTTTTCGCTAATAGTTTTCTTGGCTTCTCTAATTTATATGCATTAACATACTTGTGTACTCACTTCTGAGTTTTTGCAGTTGTGATTTGAACTGAGTGTTCGTTGAGGGCTCGTTCGCAACCAGTCATTGCTTGTCACTATACCCAAATGAAATAATCATACCGAGTATGGGTAAATACTCGAGTATGACCGAAAATGTAGTACTCGTTGCAGTTCTCTGGTATACATATACAGATATACACATATACAGATATACACATATGTATATATATATATACACATATACGATACTAAGCACTAGCCGCTGTGGGTTTTATTGCTTTCTGGTATCACGCTTGGTGGCATTTGTTCGCGTCCGGCAGTTTGCGGTTATTCCCCGGTTTCCCCTTTATTATAGGCGAGAGCAGCTGAAATCAAAGTTTGCTACCTCTCTCTCTCTCTCTCTCTCTCTCTCTCTCTCTCTCTCTCTCTCTCTCTCTCTCTCTCTCAGATTGATTCGCGTTGCATTAAAAAGCGCTCTAAACTCGATCTCCCCAAACTGAGGCGAGCGAAGGCGATAAGAAATGCGTTGGAACGCGACATGCTCAATTATTTTGCGCGCACATTCGATTTTGGGACAACAGCGATTTGACTCTCAGTACATTACAAGAAGTATATACAGATATATATGTACATACATATGTACATATGTATGTATTTAAGTACTATTTATCAATATTAGTACATATTATTTACAATAAAGGTAGTATTTATAAACATATGTAGATATTAATAAGGCATTATTTAGCTTAAATTAGAACATATATAGTATACATACATACATATGTGTGTATGTATTGCCATAACCATCCTATGATGACAGAAGTTAGAATTCCCTTTATTAGATATTCAATTACGACCTACATTTCATTTAAACGACAAAGCCTCTAATATGAAAATGAAATTTTTGTCCGATCTTTCCAACACAGGCTGCCAATTGAGTCTGCAAAGAAGAATCTTGATTCGATGTGCATAAAAATAAATATGTACACATGTATGTATGTATGTATGTATGTATGTATGTATGTATGTATGTATGTATGTATGTATGTATGTATGTATGTATGTATGTATGTATGTATGTATGTATGTACTCGTATGCATGTACAACTAATGTGCAGTGAGAGCAAAAAGTTTCGCACTCTCGCTCATCTCGCTGAGCGAATTTGTCATGCTCAGCATAAAAAGTTGGAATTGTAAACAAAGAGCGTGGTGCCAGGGCGGCGGCTTTTACGCTTATCGCAACCGATATTCAAGATCAGTGTTGAGTGACGCGCCTTCAGTGAATCAAGAGCCCGCGACGGTGTGATACCAAAATATTGCGCATATACTACTATTGTGTATATTAAGAATAGTGCGCTGACATTGAAGCTTTAGCAGCATGCCCGCTGAAGCCTCTTCCTACTTAGTTATGGCTGCGGCGCAGCCAATGTCGCTGGCGAACATTAACGCCTTCATGTTAAAAGATTTGATCGATGGCATTTGCGGCAGCGAGCTGGACATGTGCCAGAAAACTGGCGACGGCACTCTCCTGATTAAGACACGCACCAAGGAGCAGACCCGTAAGTTATTGCCACTTCGCGCTCTACCAATCGGGGTGGGCCTGTACCTGCCCGTTCTCGTCATTGAGTGCTGTAGAAGCCCGCACTGCCAAGGCATCATATACACCCAAGAGCTGCGCAAGCTGGACAAGGCAACGATTTTGAAACGCCTACAGTCCCAAAATGTGTCGAATATCAAAAAAATGCTCAAGAAGGAAAACGGCAAGCTTGTAGACACCGGTCTCGTCATCGTCACCTTTCTCAGCAGTCAATTGCCTGAGATGCTCTTCCTAGGCTACGAGATGGTGCGGGTGCGACCCTTCATACCACGCGCTGTGCGTCAGAGAATAACGCTACGCGAGGAACGCATGAGCGAAACACTCCAGAATGCGATGCAGTGGAGTGGCAGAGACGCGGCCCATCACGCAGCCCTAGTGGCTGTGCAGGAACAGGCAGCTATTGCTCACATCTGCGGCTCGGTCAACTTTGCGGCCAATGTGGTGGAAATTTTGAAGAGAGTAAGTTTGCAAGTGGAGCTCCAAAAGATTGTGTTGCTTTCAATTGAAAAATGGTTTGTGTTGTGAACCAAAACGAAGCTCAATAGCCTTAAAACTTGTACGATTCTGCAAGTGTATATTGCGTTTGATTTGATATTTTAATATCAAGGAGGTGGGCAGGCCCGATGAGGTCGATGGTCGCATAAATAGTCAGGAAACTGTTACATTCCAATTTAATTTTGAAGTCGAAGATGTTGCATTTTATACTCATAGTTGAAGAGAGAAGTTAAGTCGCCATTGCGTGAAAAAAAAATTATTTCATTCAAATCGAATGCGTCTCCTTACTTTCCCTTGCTTCCATTTAGCAGAGCCAGAACCGGTATAAAGAACTGTGTTGTTAATAGAGTATTTAAATAAAATATTCTCTGGGTTCTTAAGAGTGCAATTAATTGAATTTTAAGCGTTATTTGGTACAGTACTTTACTGTACAGTAATAACAGAGGTATGTGCTCCAATACACTCGTGACGTCATCTTCGTGATGACCACTGTTGAGGGCACTGCCTTGTGCTGTCGAGTGGGCCCGATGCCTGGTACTCACACACAGGTCCCGGTGGATGACAAAGTGTGTCTCCTCTGTTGTTCTTGCCACTCGAGCTGCGACACAAATATCAACAAGAGCAACAATAACAACAACAACAACAACAACAACAACAACAACGACATGTTCTCACACGCTGTGCCGCCTTAGCTGCGCCTTAACAGCCGTTGCCTACTTCTAGGCGCCTGTGTTCACATGGTGCTTTTGTGAGCTGTGTTCCTTTGTATTAACTCATCCAAGTCACTTCAGCCAATAAAACGAAATGAAATAAACTAATGCCCAAGTAAGGGCGAATGCGATGGGAGAAATGTGAAATGCGAGGTAAAGGGAAAGGGAAAGAGTGTTTACTTAGCCAAAGTTTGTAAGCCTGCAAAGAAATACAATTCACACACAAATCTCAAGTCCGGAAAAGGAAGAGAGGCAGTGCTGTCTGCTCTTGTTGCTCGTCTAATGCCGTACGAGTAGTGAAGAATAGCTGCAAGAGGTGCTATAATCTTTGTGGACCGAGATACGCATTGCTGGTCCGTTGTGAATGCCCCAAACATGCTGACCAAGCTATTCTCTTTCATTGTTTCATTGCAGGTGGATGGCCAGAAGTACATGGGCCAAGGGCGAAGCAAAAAGGTTGCTCGCATCGAGGCAGCTGCCACGGCACTGCGCAGCTTCATTCAGTTCAAGGATGGCGCTGTCCTGTCGCCGCTGAAGCCAGCGGGCAACTTGGACTTCACCAGCGACGAGCATCTAGAAAACGGTATTGATATTGAAAACATGAGCAAACAAGAGTTGGTTCAAATAATTGAAGCTATGATTGTGCTTGAAAAGAGCTTCGCTATCACCCCGTGTGTAAATCCCATGCTACCTGAAACGTATGATCCCATGATCCAAAGCAAGTATTCGTTCCCTTACATTGATTTACTTAGTATTTAATCCAGCCCAATGATTTATGTTTTTAAAATTTTATTTTGTTGGTGATATTTGTAGTGTTGTATTTATATTGCTTTTTCATAAAAATTAATGAGGAGAACCTTGTGAGCCAAATACAGGTTTATGTGTTATAGAGCTTTACAAGCAAGAAGAAAGAATATAATATATTTGTGGTATAATATTTGTTGTCCTAACCTATGAATAATGTTCAACAATTTATTAAAATAGTATAAGAATGTGGAGTACATTTTCTGAATAAATAGCGAATATGTATCGAGATCGAAATTTTTGAAGCCAAGCCTATTCTCCTATCTATCTATTATATAATAATAAGAAACTGTAAGACTTGAAAGAAGGATGTCTTACTGTAGTAAACACCATCCACTCAAACACATTTAAAATACAGCTGAAATATTAAGATATTATTAAGATATTGCAGCTTTTTCCAAAGGGGGCAAAAAATGCAATTTTGATGCGTTCAGATAATAACTTATGCATCTGATCAACAGAAAAACTTCCTTTCTTGTTTTTAAATAAAAACCAAAGCCTAATTTTTTTACTTTTAACTTAACAACCTGTAACAGTTTTCTTATTCATATTCCGCCCCTCCCTGCCAGATGTTAACAAGAGTGCCATAGCGGTTGATGGACAGAAGAAGGTGCCAGACAAGGGGCCCGTGATGCTCCTCTACGAGCTCCTTAATGACGTCAACTTCGATTGCATGAGCTTTTACAATGCTCAGAACAATTGTCACTTCAAGATGACCGTCACCATCAACGAGAAAAAGTTCGATGGCACAGGTGAGAAAGAAAGATATAGAAAGATGAGAATATGAAAGATTACCTCATTATGCTTTGCCTTGGCAGGTCCCTCCAAAAAGCTGGCCAAAAATGCTGCCGCAAAGGCTGCGTTGGCCTCGCTTTGCAATATCTCCTACAGTCCAATGATGGCGCCTCAGAAGAATGTTCCACTTCCAATCGACGACAAGTCATCGTCCATGGAGTTGCCACAGATTCATGCCGACACCATTGGCCAGCTGGTGCTCGAAAAGTTTATGGAGGTCATTAAGGGTCAGGAGGCGTACTCACGCCGCAAGGTTTTGGCGGGCATTGTCATGACGGAGAACATGAACTTCAGCGAAGCCAAGGTGAGTACCCGAGGTGAGAAGAGCAATGTGCTGACAACTGATTATTGTCTCCCATTATCGCAGGTCATATCGGTTTCAACGGGCACCAAGTGCGTCAGCGGCGAGCACATGAGTGTCAATGGAGCTGTGCTCAACGATTCCCACGCCGAAATCGTCTCCAGGCGTTGCCTTCTCAAGTACTTGTATGCACAACTGGATCTACAGTGCAGTCAGGGTATGGTTCTCTGATTTGTCTTAAAACTGCAACTGAAACTGCATTTAGTAGCTGGCGTGAGTGGGTGTTCGTTTGTGTGTGCATGCATTTGCTGTAGCTTTATAATTTCTACTTGAAACAGTCGGTTGTAGACGGTACAGATAGTACAGATATATGTATACTATACACATATTAACGAGTAATTGTATGTATTATCCCGTCTAGTTGCTTGACTTCTAAATTGTGTGCGAGATAAATAGTTGGCGTTTAATTAGCATTTTGGTTTTTTATACCCTGTACCCAAAGGGTACAAGGGTATATTAGTTTTGTGCGAGTGCACATGGAACACACAGAAGGAGGCTTGGTAGACCCCACAAAGTATATATATTCTTGATCAGCATGACAAGCCGAGTCGATATAGCCATGTCCGTCTGTCCGTCCGTCTGTCCGTCTGTTTCTATGAACGCAAGGATCTCCGAAAGTATAAGAGCTAGAATAACCAAACTTGGTTATTAGTAACGATTTTCTATAACTCCCGTAATTGGAATGTTGAACTAAAATTTGGTAGTCACATTAGGTTAGTGATTATATATCCGTATACCAACTTTCATTATGATAGAATGATCGGAAAGAAAGTTATAGCCATATAACCAGGCCCAATGCACACATACATACATATGTACAAGTACACAAACACGCATAAGGCACGACTCTGATGTAAATGTAAATGTATGTATGCATGCATGGAATATTTTATATTTAATTTAGTTAATTTATTAAATTAATGTAGTTAATTAATTTAATTAAATTAATTAATTAATTTAATTTCTTTTTTGTGGGGTGGTACAGGGTATTTAAGAGTTGAGCCTGCTCGACTTTAGCATTCCTTTCTTGTTTTTTTCTTTATTCAGGAACACGGAAACATTTATAAAACTTGTACTCTTTGAAACTTATCTCGAAGCAAAAAAGCAGATGAAGATGAAAAGCAGTTAAAACAAATCAAATTTTATAACGAAACCTAAAACTCTACTGTAATTTCATTTGTATTCGATTGTTTTTATTTACTTTTTTTTCTTAATTATAGCAACAGCATATCAGTCGATTTTCGTGAGGAATACAGATGGGCAATACCCTTATAAACTAAAATCCGGGGTACATTTCCATTTGTATATAAATACAGCACCTTGTGGGGATGCACGGATATTTAGTCCCCACGAAAAAGACACGAGTGTTGACAAACATCCAAATAGGTTGGTACACAAGCTCCTCTTAAATAATACAAGTATATACATACTATGTACTACTACTCAACTCTATACAACAACAACTCATCAATCGCAAAATACAATTCAAACCTGACCCTTTTTGTACAATGTACCTCAACCCTGAAAGGGTATACTAAAAAGTATGGCAGATCTCATGGTAGAGGCACATTTATTATTATGATGAGACGAATCGATACAGACAGAACCGTTATTCGGTGCCTTTGAGCATGAGAATATTGCTTTGATATTTATTTAATTTTGTATTTGATAGGAGTTTTGCAATATTTTGAAAAATGATTTTTTTTTTAATCCGTGCAATGTGCGCCAAATAAAGATTTATATGAAAGTAAGAGGCCAATGTTAAAACTGTCTTGACAAGGTCACGAAAGTCTGTTCAGTTTTAGTTTGAATTATATTTGCGAGTATAATAACAGTTTAAAACAATACGAATGTTACAAATTACATATACAAGGTGTGTTCCTAAGTAAACAGGACTTTTTTTTTTTAAAAAAGAAGAACAAATGGTTTTTTCGGCAAAATCACTTTATTCCTTCTGCTTCAATACAGCTTTTTGCACGATCCAAAAGCATGTCGAACGAGTGTTTTAACTCGTTGGCCGGTATGGCCGCCAGTATTCCGGTGCAAGCCTTTTGAATGGCTTCTACGTCTGTATAACGCTTTCCTTTCATGGGCAAATGCATTTTTCCGAAAAGGTAGAAGTCGCAAGGTTCCATATCAGGCGAACGCGGCGAGTGGTTAATGGTTAAAATTTGATTTTTGGTCAAATAATCGGTCACAAGAGTCGATCGATTCTGAGCAATTTTTGGTCGTCAGTCTATTTGTTCAGAACAAACCGTGCACACACCTTTCGTAAGTCCAAATGTTCGGTCAAAATGCGATAAATCGATGTTTTGGAGATGTTCAATTCCATTTCTATCAATTTCAATGATGATTTCGGCTGACTTTTGATGAATTCACGCACAGTTTCGATGGAATTTTCGGTGGTCACGAATTTAAATTGGCCCACATGTTGATCGTCATTTATGTCCTCACGACCACTTTGAAAACGTTGAAACCACTCGTGCACTCTGCTACGGGATAGGCAATCATCGCCATAAGCTTGCTCCATCAATTGAAACGTTTCGGTAAAAGTTTTACCAATTTTAAAACAAAATTTAATGTTGGCTCTTTGTTCGAAGCTCATTTTCGCACCGATAACACAAACATACTGACACTTAAAACGCAATAACTTCACTACCAATCGATGAAATATCATGAAATTCTAACTGGATAATCGATAAAGGTAGCAGATTCTAACGCACCAGTCGACATATAGATAGCGCCACCAGGGGCGCTAGATTCAAAAAGTCCTGTTTACTTTGGATATCTACCTATAAATGACTTGAGCTTTTGGTTTCTGTTAGTTTAAATCACAAGCACCACTATCGTTATGCTGTTTGCTCCCGCTTTCTTTGCCTTTTGAATTAATTATTTCCGGTTCAACCCCCCAAAAAAATGACATCTATTACCTCATGTGCAAATTAAAACAACTACTAATGGGTAGAAAATCACGTGGCCAGCTGCGAACGATAATCGAGTCCGGCGAGGGCACCATACCGGTGAAGAACAGCGACGGTATACAGACCTGGGACGGGGTTATGCCGGTAAGTTCAATTTCAGTTCTGCCTATCACCAGATATTAATATCGGTACATCGTCGTGCGTTCACAGGGCTGTCAACGTCTGCTAACCATGTCGTGTTCGGACAAAATTGCGCGCTGGAACATCGTGGGCATACAAGGCTCGCTGCTATCCTCCATTATTGAGCCGGTGTATCTGCACTCGATTGTGCTGGGCAGCCTGCTGCATCCGGAGCACATGTATCGTGCGGTGTGCGGGCGGATTGAGAAGTCTATACAGGGCCTGCCGCCGCCATATCATTTGAATAAGCCACTTCTGGCCATGGTTACGTGCCAGGAGCCTCGTAATCACGATAAGTCGCCCTTATTTAGTGTCAATTGGACCTTTGGCGATACGGAGCTCGAGGTGGTAAATTGTCAGAAGGGCCGTACCATTGGAAATCGGGTGTCGCGCATAACAAAGCAAGCATTCTTTGTTAAATACGGGTTTCTTATAAAGAATTTACCAGGAATAGAGAACCGGAATGTTACCACGGACTACGGTCAGACGAAAGCCAGTGTCAAGGACTACCAGGTGTGTGGGATTTATATGATGAAAATTGAAAATATTGGGGCTATATTTTTTTAGGGCTGGGAAGAATTGTTAAGAATATAAAGGAGCAATTTATATGTGGTATTTATTTGTTTTGGATGAAGCTTTTATTGGAAAATCATTTTTTAAGAGAAACCAAATCTAGTAAAATAAAGTATAGTTCCAACGGAACGAACGATGGGTAGCGAGTCGAATAACTAGACTTTAGTTAAACCTTTATTTAATATCAACTTACCTTCTTCTCTCGATCAGATTGCCAAACAGGAGTTATTTGCTGCATTTCAGCGTGAGGATCTCGGCAGCTGGCTGAAGAAACCCCTTGAGCAGGATAACTTCAGACTTGCCAAATGAAACGCAGCTAATTAATAATTACTTATTTTTACAGTTATCACATATGTTTATCACTTGCTATAATTCCATTAAAGTGCATTCTTTCGTCTATACAACGAATTTACTAATAATATTTTGCTTAAATATCAAGTTCCACACTAGGAATTAAGTTACATGTACTTGAAACAGCCATATACAGTATGTGCCTCAAAAGTAAGTTAAGTTTGACTTCGTAATTATCTGCATCCTATGTATTTCTACTTGTGCTTCCTTAAGCCTTTTTCATTTAAAATAAACCATAAAGCAAGTATTTCAATTAATGGAAAACAATTTTTTGTTTAAATCTGTATTTTTTATGTTACCCAACAATGAATGAAATAAGTATTAGAGATTAGAGCTTTTTCGATAGGAAGCTCAAGCCGACTGGTTTTTCTGGTAGTCGACAGAGGGCGCATTCACAGGACTTCAAAAGCTGTTCACAAGCTTAAGCACACACCCCATCAAAGGATTATGGTACAAAATCGACAGGCTGCAACTTTTTATACTCTGTACATGAAATGTACAAGAGTATGTATATTAGGTTTGCGGGAGGTTAAAAATGTAACAGGCAGAAGGAGGCGTGGCGGACCTCACAAAGTTTGTATATCAGCATGACAAGACGAGTCGATCTATGTCTGTCTGTCCGTCCGTATGAACACCTGGATCTCAGACACTATAAGAGCTAGCGACACAAAAGTATGCAAAAAGATGCCTTATGTGTGTACGCTATACGAGTTTGTTTTATTTTTATTTTGTTGTGCAAAGGAAGGAAGTCCCCCAGGGTAAGGGTTTTCATTCGGCCATGCGACTATCATCTGACGAGTCCAAATCCAATATCGAAAGGCACCCAAATATTTTGATAAAAGGAAAATGAATGAATTGAAAATGAACTGTAAATTAATTTAATATTCAGTTGTGCCAACTACATTTCACTGAAATTTTTAACATCTAGTAAAGTCATGTTTCCTTTCCATGCACGATACGCTCTAAAAGTTTCTACATTTATGTGAATTCAATTATCGTCGGACTTTTTTAAGCAGCAAGTTCTTAGTACCTTTACTGGATTGTTTAGGATCGTGATCGTGTAGGAAATAAATTTTACCGTCGGCTCTTCTGGTTTTTTCCGAAAAATATTTATGTTAACACCATAAATATCCTACTGTGATAAGCAAGGGCGTACGGGCCATTGCCGATGAAAGTCAAAGTCGTACACTTGGATGGATCAGATTATGCTTAGACATAATAAAAAATGTATAAATCTCAATATAATATTTTCCGCTGATTTAAATGACATTGCAGAATATTGTGAGAAGGCTCACAAGCACCAAATTTGTTCATGATACATATCCAAATAAACAAATAGTTGTCTGATTTACAATGACTTTTGCATGGATCTGTTTGGGATACCAATATGGTTGGCTTTAGAAAACAAGTTTTGTTTAGACGGACACATAAGTGGCATGTCCGCCTATGTTTATATCGACTCGTTTCGTCAAGCTGATTATACATATGTACAAGTATATCTATAATAATGTCGGCCACATCTCCGTCCGTTTGGCGTTCCCTTAAAGCGATTTGCATTTGCACAAAACAAAGACGATTTTTGTATCCTTTTGTGGGAGGAATATTATTTTTGAGTATAAATTTTGTTGCATGGTGTCGCTCACCCTTATATTTTATATAGGGGTTTCGTTTTGGAGCGCCATCTATGTTAAGCTTTTACAATTTCTTCACTTAATTGACATGCATTGGGTTTGCAAAATTGTGAACATTCTGATGCGCAAAAATCAATTTTCTTCGCTTTAGTTTCATTTAATTAGACGCTAAATTAATTACACACTATGAATAATTTAAGAAACAGTAACGGATATAACAAAAAAAAAAAAAAGAAAAAATGTTGCTATATATAAGTAGTACTCGGTTATGCGTCAACACCAACTACAACTAGTGGGCCTTGGCCTTGTAGGCTATCTTCCACACCTCGAACAGGCAGATGGTCGAATGGAAGCGATAGAATATGGCCAGCGGCATTGAAATGTGCGTGATGATCGTCCAGCCCCAAATGCCAAAAAAGGTCAGATGCGACTCACGGAACACGGCACGTCCTTTAATGAGCGTGTTCACAAACCAGATGGCAATGTTCGCGACCAGCAGAAACGTTATGATCTCGCGGCCTGGCTTGCGACGCACCTGCTTAGCGCCCTTGCAGCGCCTATGGCTTGAGTGTAATATGAACATGGTCTGAAGCGAGGTCTGGGCTACACCAAACACCTCGGCAATGATGCCCTCGACGCGATCGGGTACAGTATCCCATTTGGCAAAATAGCTGCCCAGTATGCTGAACATGCCATAGAGGTAAACGCCCGTCTGGGCCACTACCAACAGCAGATTGTCCAGATCCATCGAGTGGTGCTCGTCTGTGGTGTCCTTGATATACTTGAGATCGCGCATGACAATCATGCCTGTATTGAAATATTGAAATAGCGTACACGTTATACAATACTATAAATGCAGATGATTGGATGCAAGGAGCACCAACCTGATATCACGGCAACGGCACATAGGAAGTAGATGATCGTTTCCCAAAGCGTTACCTCCTGCGTTGCGATCAGCTCGTAGCCGGGCTGCGTGTAGAGCACAAAGTACATTATCATCGAGATGATTGTCATCACGATGATCAGTATGCCGAAGAAGAGACCCTTGTGGGACTGTGAGCAGTCGACGGAAAAGTGGTGGGCTGGCTTCTGGGCTACCGGCTTCACCGAATTCTTGCGCGACCTGTCAATATCCGGTATGGACTTGACGGTCTTCCACATTTCGTACAAAATGACGGCGCAAATCAGCGAATACTCGATGGTGCAGGGAAACAGGAAAGGTGACAGCTGCTGCACAAGGGCTCCCATAATCGTAGTGCGGGAGCAGCCGGTGTAGGGACCCTCTTCAGGCATAGGCGCCAGCGTACGGTTGAGCACAGTGGCGGTCATGTTGACGAGCACCCCCTGCGTCGGGTGGTTTTGCGCCATCGTACGGTTGAGCACGGTGGCGGTCATGTTGACGAGTAGCCCTTGCGTTGATTGGTTATGCGGCAGGTGCATTGTGGCATTGATAGCCGACCAGTCGGGACCACCGTGTGCGCCGGCGTGCATCATAGGATCATTTGGATCGATATCGTTGTGATTTATGTGAAATATCTCGTGTTTCGTCTCCTCGACCAGCACATACAGCCACTCGCACAGATTGGTGGCCACCATGTGCATGAGGCCGAACCGCGAGGTTACCTTGTGGCGTGCCATGTCCATGTAGGTGGTGTTCAGGAAGATGAACTGCACTTGGGCGATGCACAGCACCATGCGGCAGATTGGTGTAATGGCCACAAAGGCATCATGGCAGCCGGGCTGTCCGTTCAGCTCAAAGAACTGTCCAAATTCCAGGCCCGAATAGACCATGGTACCAATGGCAAAGGCAATGGCACCCACCCGCAAATAGAAGCTCCCGAAGTGGGTGACCTTGTGCTTCAAATGAACGTTACTGTTCTTTTCGTCTGTGTGCAGTAGAAAGAAAACACAGTTAAGGGTATTCTTATGTTGTGATTTGGGGGTCCAAAGCCAGTCTTACTACTCTTATTATTTTTTTTTATGATAAGGTATAAGGGATGCTAAGCCAACCAATTTTAGGAATGCCCTAACTGTGTAACAGTAGGAACACTCAGTAATCACTAACCGCTAATAATTAAGCAGTGACCCAATAGTGATCGAATCGAAAAGCCAAGTAGTGACTAACAATTAACAGTGATCAATAATCGATAAAAAGCGATAACACATAAGAATGAATCAACTGACCAGCGATAAGAAGAGGACGTTAAGTGAAAATTTTTATTCAACGAGAAATAATAAATATTGTTTTGAACTAAGTTAGATCGTTTATATAGTAAAAGGAAGACAATTACAATTACTAACTCACTTGATTGGAAGCTGCATCTCTTGTATAGTAATTACGAAAGTATGGAAAAGTCAAGGCCGTCCTCACTTTAGCAAAAAAAGGTGCAATTCATTTGATACTTACGAAAATCCTTGAGCGCATTAAAAAGTGACCGATTGCGAACGGCGCTGATGTACAGAAAGATGACGAAGAGAATGCTGCCCACATATAGGTAGACATAGAATCCTTGATAGACGTATGTGGGTATCTGATCCGAGATAACCTCAGTGATGGGCAAGCAGACGCCCAGCAGCACAAGCAGCTTGCAATACGTGGCGGAAAGTGCCGAGCTGATTGCATCGCTATGTTTAAAAGGAAAACAGGACATATGTTATGTATTGGTATGCATGTATTCATTAATAGTTTATAAATGCATGAACTTGAAAGCCAAAAATATGTTGGTTTGACCAGAAAGTGCGGAAGCTTGAATGTACTTGATTTTGATTGCCAATTTTGGATTTGATTTGAAATCAATAGTGGTTGTAAGCTCTGGAATTTATAGAATGAATGCTTTTTCTTGTATATGCCCATTAAATTATTTGCAATCAATTGCACCCATAGATGAAACAAGAGTATTTCAAAGCCGGGACACCCGACTTTAGCTTCACTACTTGTTTTTTTTTTATCACAGATGGTTTGATAAACGGATCACAGTCCAATTATATGTTCAATCCGATTGACTCATAATATTTTGCTTTTATGAACGAAAATCTGATTGGTCAGATTTTGGATTAGTGGCTTGGAGTTGAAGGCAACTGTACTTACTTGCCGGTGCGCCGATTCTTTTCCTTCTGGTGCTTGGCCTGTATGCTCTTGGCTCCATTGTCGTAGTACGAGCCATTGCGGGCGCTCGTCGTACCGCTCTGAAAGTTAATGGTGGCGGTGCTGCCGCTGGCCGTGGCCTGGAGATTTCTATACGGGGGGAGGGGGAGAGGGAAAGAGAGAAAGAGAGAGTGGAAGTTAGATATTGTGGGAATTGGTTGATGAGATGCGCACAGAGGACACACAGAATATAGAATGTGGGCAGTACCCGCCGTTTCTGGCGCTGCGGGCTGATAGAAAATTGTTATTGCCATTCTCCTTGCGTCCCAGCAGTGGCGGCCGATGTGTCAGTATCTCCTGCAACAATATGGAGGGTCGCCGTGATACTTGGAGCGTGCAGGACGTGTCACTGGAATGCATGCCATTGGTGATAGCCGGCACGGGCAACAGCGCCTGACGTTGACTGGCGTGCTCCACCAGCTCCAGATTGGTCTGAGATTTGGCCAGCGGTGAGATGGGGGGCGACATCATCGGTATGTTATGATGGCCGCAATGATCGCAGGCGGTGCGAGCGTATCGTATTACAGCGTTCGAGGTGGCAGCGATGGCCGGATTGACCGGCGCCGATGATGACTTTAATAGGGTTGGGGTCGTAGAGGGCGATTTGTTGCGCTGCTTTATGGTAATGTATTCACAGCTGCCACTTGGGGTATGATTGCTGCTGTGAGATGAAGAGTCATTGGTGAGATAAGACGGCAGACGAGCCCGTGCGACAATTGCATGCACACACAGACACACCAACACACACGCACACACACAAACACACACAGACACACACACACAAACGCACGCCCTTTAGCAATGTACTGAGTCAAAATTGGGCCGGACAATGCCTGCGGCCAGTTTAAGGTTTGCAATCAAACTGACTGCGTCGTGACCAGTTGGCACGTTATGGTCAACTTGGCATATTTCGTTACTGCCACCGAGCGACATCCATCTTATGGGTGAGACTGTAATCATTGCGACTGTGTGGTGCTTGATGGCTTTTTGATTGATTTCACAGCCAACCAAAATTCAATTGCTGGGCCCCATATCGACGGAGGCACGTGCGCAACCGCTTTCACGTAGCGCCCATATAAGCCTGCACATACACATGTATATACATATATGTATGTACATATATATTGTATTATACATATACATACATGTAGAGAGCTAATGAGGCAACGGCGGCACTTTGAGACTGAACACTGTGCCTGTCCGCTACTGATAACGATATGGGAATGAAAGTCATATGCATGTCCGTCCATATGCCCCGTTTCATCATCAATCAATTACAATGCAAGTCTAAGTGTTGTTGTTGTTGTTGTTGCTGCTGTTGGCAGTTGTGCAAATAGAAAAGGAAATGATAAAATACAGGTATCTTCCTACCATAATACAATATTATCGCATGCTTTCAAATTTCTGGCCAATCTTTCTCTTTTCGCTGCGCCATGTCTCCTCAAATCTCAAGCCTCAAGTCTCAAGTCTCAGTGCGGATGCGTGATTGTTTCGTTTGTTACTATTCTGCCTTGTATATCTTGTTAATTAACAATACACATTCGCACACACACACACAGACACACACACCCATACTGAATTGCTTGCCTTTTGGCGTGTCTTACACGAATTGAAATGCGAAATTTGTAATTGGTTGTAAAATGAGAAAATTATCAGCGCTTTGTAAATGAATTTGCGTGATAAACAAATTGAACTGATTTGTATAGGGACATAATAGGTGGTAAATAGGGGATTTAGCACTAATAAGGAGGCACGTTTTAAAGATATATATTTAATTTTTTATAGATCCTGTTGATAGCTACAATTATTTAAACAAAATTTATTGATTATTGTTTAATAAACTTCCCATTTTAGATTTTATAAAAATTTTAGGAAGTCATAACTAAAATGTTCACACTCCTTTGTACCTTAGATTTGAAGCTGTGAAAGCCCATTATTACTACTCCGTCTTCAAAGACAATTCAGCAAATGTGTCTCAAATTCCAATCCATTTTTCTCTTCTATTTTAAAAATGTGCGAAATTATTCAGCAAAGAAGTTTGGCGAAATTTGGTGTAAAGAGTGGAAGGCTTTCGACTTTTCGAGAAAGACGACCAAGGACATTAGGCAAATCGGAGACAATACTGATGTTGTTGGTATTTCTAATGGATCAGCCAAACACCATTTTAAAATAACTTGTGTGCCTCGTAAAAGTTATTTCTCGTTTGGTTCCAAGAACACTGCACTATTGCAATTATTTTTCGTGACAATTGCGCCAAAAGCAAAACGCATATCGTTCCTCAATGTTCTGGCTATTTAATAAATTAAATAGACTACTTCAAGGACATCGTTTTTCGGAGAGGTCATTCCAGAAAGAAAGAAATTCATCCGAAGTGGGCAATCACCTTTGAAGGCGATCAAAGAGATACTAATAAATAAATAGAGACTTTATACGTTAAAACTTATTTTGAAGGCCTTTTAAAATGTGCATTAGCAGTATCTGTTGGAGAAGAGTAGACTACTTCATTGAAATTTGTTATATTGTTGGACGCAATGAAGCTTTATAAGAATGTTTCGTCTGGCAATGCAAAATGCTCTCCCTTTAAATAATTTTGTGCTAATCTTCATATTCCTTTATATAATATACCGCTAGCGATTTAACACCTAAACATATTGCATTATTGTTCGTGTGTGTCGAATTATTTCTGATTAAGAATTGGGAACGGCCGACAAATCGGTTAACAATATTAAGAGCCATTCTTTTCGTTTTTCGTCACCAAAATGGGATTTTAGTAGTCCCTTGGCATCTTGCTCGATTATAATAGTATTAATTGTGTATTTGTATTCTCCACATTCTGCACATTATTTCATAAACATTTTAGCACTTGCTAGCCTAACAAGGAATGTTCAACTACTGTCAACTCCTGCTTCTTCTCACTAATAGTAAATATTTTCAGCTACGATCGAGACTTGGCTGACTAATAAGTCTTTTCCTTCCCTCTAATTTGTTTGCATGCCATTTTGTTTCTATTTATTTTTAAATACTATTAAAAACAATTAATCCGAAATCCCGGCTATTTGCTTTTGAGCGGCCTATGGGAGTTATGTATTTTATTATTTTTCTGCAAATTTTTTAAATGGACTGAGCATTTATTTCTTTTAAAAACTATTTCAAAGCACCTTAGCTTGGTATGCGAATTAGCTTCCCTAGGCGGCAATATTTTAGGTACCCTTCCTCCCTATATATTCAACAATGCCTTGCATGATTCAAATCGGGTTTTATGTTAAAACTATAGTTTTATAAGTCACGTCTTTGGCACAGTCAGCTCTATTAGTATACTTGTAATTAGCTTCTGTTTATTAAGTTGTCTTGATCATTTCTCGTTATTTGTTGAACTAACTCTTGCAACCTGTTTAGCCTGTTAGCTATTAAATAAAAGGCATTAGTATCCACATTGCTTGTATTTTCTTTGTAATTTTAATTCTACCGAGGACATGTGTAGGAGCTTGATTTGAATTCATTGAATTGATGTTTGCTTTGAAGTTGAAATTAATTTTTTTCATATAGTGCTCCGCACTTTAATTAAATAAGTGAAAATCAGAAATGAACACACGTTCATAGCCGTAGATTTACGTAGCTTATCAAATGTGTTGGCAAGTTGTCGGCGGGCGAATTGTTTATTGAGTACTGAATGTGTTAATTTTGCTAAAACCGAATTTTTCCTGTTTAGACTATTCCGATCAAAGGGACTGACTAAGAAGCAGCAGCATTGCATCAATGTTTAATAATTAACGGGAACCTGTTAAGTACACATGCAAATAGATTCGGATCACATCGGCTTGAATTGGATCGGATCAAACAGACAAAAGTGAGTGCAGAAAGTAATACTTTTAAATGGAGTTGGGTTGAACTCTCTCTCTCTCTCCATTAAACACACCGATAATTTCCAGTGTTGTAGGGCTTTTGGCATTCGTCTATGTCTGATTGTTCACACTAGAATCTTGTATTTCTTTTAGAGCGCATTTGCATGAGATGTGGATAAATATTTACACAGTTGCCAGTCTGGTTCTACTATATAGTGCTAGAGTTTACGATGGGAATTATGACTGGTGATAAATATTGAACAAAGCTTTATTCTATGCCACTCGAGTTGTTTGCATTGATGGAAAAATCGATGCGAATTTCAATACCTTCAACACACATGATTATAGCATGTCAATAGGCAAGACTGAGGTGTAAACTATATAATTAATTAAAGCACGATGAGATTGCTAATGTGGAATCCGCCAACGCCAACGAATAATTAAAATTAAGTATAATTAAGCTCTTCGAGCTGCGGAGTGGAGATATAAAGAAGCCATATAGACGTTTGAAATAATTAATACAGATAGAATCGTCTACTATATAGTTTGCCAACTTCCTACGGCTATATAGTAATTATTCTTTGAACATCATAAGCTTTTATTTAATCGAATTTAATTTGAATTGCAATATTAGACTCAGACTTTAATTTCTGGTATAATTGTTAAATATTTCCTGTTAAGGGTTTAATTATAGACTTTAATTTCTGGTATTATTGTTAAATATTTCCTGTTAAGGGTTTAATTATAAAAGTTATGTTGGCAAATAGCTATAATTGAAGAAATATATAGATTCTTTATTGCTATTTAGTATTTAAAAATATTATGAAGGTATGTATTTCATTAATTGTTTTTTAGTTTATTTCTCTTCTTTTTTTGGAATTTTGAATTTTCAGATTCCATGCAGATCCAACAAACATTAAGCGGGACAAAAAGGATTATATCTTCTTGTCTGGTCTCATAGGTCTTTTATGTTTTAAGAACTTAAATCACTCCCCTATAAATGTTTTGTCAATTGTTTTGCATTTTCTTATTCATTCTACAATATATTAGAAATAATCACCCGATAAATATTTTTACGACTCTAATCGTTAGTCACGGCCAATTTCAAATACATATTAAAAAGATAATGATTATATTTATTGAATTAGCCAGCTTTTAGAAAATTTCGATAATTTTTGACAAAATATTAAATGTATCATGTAAATGAAACTTTGTTTTTCGTTCTAATTGGAATTTACGGAACGCCTTTAAGCCAAATTCTAATAAAAACATTTCGCTCTTTTCTCTGCCATAGTTCTTCAACGAATATGAACTTTTAATCGATTTAAAGCAGCTACAAGTATATGATATACGGCACCGAAGTTATTGCAACATGAGATTGGTTATTGCGATATCGTGATAAATAAAAACATTTAATCACTAAGCGATTTGTGTACATACATGATATAGTGCACCGATTTTTATGACTATAGCGAGGCACCACATTTTATTGGGTGTTATTTTTGCACAGATCGTTCCAATGACAGCTGTATGAAATAATTAGGATACAAATGTCTTTTCAAAGAGTTAGCTTGCATATGGAGAAGCTACATCTGCAGATCAAGTCTGGGGATCCCTAGTTGCTATGTTTAAAAAGTTTAGGTGTTCATATCTGAAGCTGTCTGTATCTATAACATGTCTATAACATGTCTATAACATATCTGTTCCTTCCATTGCAACAACAACAACAACATAAATTTGCATGCACACATTATGGGCCACATACTTGTATACATACATACATATATAGTATGAACGATCATTTCAATTAACACGATCGTTCTCATTTGTTTAGTGATTCGTATACAATTTTTATATTGTTTTGTGGCTCTCGAGTGTGTGATTGTGTGAGTGAGTTGTGCTTACAACTGCGCATTCAGATCGGATCACTTGAGATGGAAAATGTGAGTGAAAATGTGGAACGCACTTCCTGTTATGATTAACGACGTCATCCCGATAATGGACCCGCTGCTTTGACTTCCACAAATTAACGTGCTCATAGTATTGGCCGTTGGCGTCTAAACTGGTTAATGACATGACCGAACGAAGGGTAAAACTGCAACGGGCCGGCCCGCGATCACAAGCGGGTCGTCGAGGGGTGCCGGGAGTTGTAGCGAGGCGCGAGAATTATTTGTTAGCACTCGGACCGCCAGCCACTTATGGAGCTCGTTTTGGGCGTCAGCCGTTTCTATCAGCTGTGATCGAGCCCGGGAGGCGGATGGGCGGACAGGCGGACGTTATTAGATAAGCAACGATAGCTTCCACAGATCCGAACAACTTGTTAGTGCGATTCGATTGCGCGCACGGCCCGGCTAAAACGGCTAAGCACGACGACGCCTACTTGGAGACTAAATGCGGCGAAGATTCGCGGCGATTATTTCAGTCGTTGACGCTCTTGGGAAGGCAAGGCGTCAACATTTTGGCTGCTTGATTAGCGCTGCTATATATGTTATTGTTAATGCTTATTGTTGTTGCTGCTGTTGTTGTTGTTGTAGCTATTGGCTCATAGTCTGGCTTTCATGACTAGAATGCAGCCTCAATATTGGCTTTATCTAATTTCACGTGCTTGAGTGCTGCCTTTGTTGTTGTCGTTGTTGTCTTAAGCAATTTATTATTCGCAATAGGCTTACTGGTTGTTGTTTTTGTTCTTGTTGTTGTTACTGTTTTTGCACACAACTCAGACTATTATTGATTTTGTCTAGTAAGTATTTGTGCCTCCTTGCTTAGATTTGTTCAGTTATAAATAGAGTGCGAGTTGATCTTTCGGACGGTTGTTAAAAATAGAAACTGCTAAAATTGTTAACACCTAGTATAGCTGGCAAAAATGTCGAAGGAACTAGCTTGGTCAGTCAGTCATAAATGTAAGAATTTTGTTCAAATGCATACAAGATTGCCAGAATGATGTTAATTTCGCACTCAAGTGGAAAAGTTCGCAAAAAAGGTCTACAAGCTGACGAAGTAAAATATTTTTGTTGGTGCCTTTTTTTTATTAAGAGTCACGTGCTTGGCTGACGCATTTCATGATTCGCCGTCGATTTTGTTATTGACTCAAGTGGCATAGCCACCACAAGGAATGCTTCAGATGAGTTCAATTTTATCAATTCCCTTTGCAAGAGGAATGACCATATTGTGGGAGACCAACGGATCTCTCTTTACTCTTCGAACAAACGCAGTTTGCAGACATTTTTATTTAAAAACTAAAATCTAACTACACATTAAAACAACAACTTGAAACTTAAATGGAAAACAGTGATTAAAGAGCTGCTGTTTATCATTTCCCCTACATTTGCAAACTTATTAATTTATTTTTAATTTAAATTTGCTCAATTATTGATTCAATTGCATTCTCTTGCATTACCCATTATCATTGCAATTACTTCGTAGCTCGTTAAGAGCTTTAATTGAAACTGCTTCGGTCTATTTGGAGCTGATAACAAAGTATTGGTAATCTCAGATTTTGGCACAAAGAAAGCTATAAGCATACCTGCCTCTTTAAATAAGATTATCTATCTATTAATTTTCAATTGATTAAAAGTATCAAATTTTCCGTTATGTCAAAGTCTTGGTCGAACTAGCAAATAATTTACACCAAAATCGAGTTCATCGAATTTTTCACGTTTTGTAAACTAAATATTTGCCATAAAAATTAGATGTTCTGTGTTCAACGGGGCGCTGTTCTACGGACTCTAGTCTAAAGGTTATCAGAATGTCAATGAATGGATAAAGCTGATATGAATGGCTTCAGTTGAAGGATTGACGTCAAACTGTAGAAGCAGATGCTACTTGCAGGGAATATTGAAGTAACGGTACTAATTGTGTTAATGATACTAACAATATATAAATTATTAAATGAAATTGTTGTCTTTGTCGCTTCTTTTCTGATTTCTTTTTGAAGTAAAGTCTTAAAGTTTCCGGCTCTACATTTCTCACAGATTCTGCTTTTTGCTGGTTAAGGATAATTGTGTATTTGAAATGATTGGTAAGCGATTGGTGAAGAAATATAGAAATTCCAATTAAATATATATGTACTTGTATGTAAATGGCAATTCAGTCAAGAAGGAAAACAGCCTTAGTTGATAAGAATAATTAATCATTGCTGAAATTGTCACATGCCAGCACATTCCATGATGAGTTCTAATAGTAAAAAGTTTTCATATTTATTTCTTTACCTGAAGGTAACCGATGGCATTCTTTCGTATTGCACTGCACTGCTACGGTCCAACATTTAAGCCAGCCACAAAAACTTATCCAAATAGAAGTCGACACAAGATGGCCAAAACTTTCTATTGATGTGGTTGTTAGTTGACAGTTTGAATTGGGTTTTAGTTTGTTGTCGGCTATATTCGTGATTGGCTTAACAATATTTTCATTGGATAACAGAATTTCGCTTTTATATCACAGTTGGCAGATGTAATAAACTAAAAACACAAGTATTTATGCAAATATCTCGTTTCTACACGCTGGGAGCTTCGATGCTATGGACTAGGTCGTCATCAGCTTATAACACCGATATATGCTCGTTTGCATGTTGTGCTGAGGCACATATTTGAATTGTTACCAAAAAATCAATTAGGTAATCATTAGTAGTAGTAGTAGTAGAGACCGACTGTAGAGCTCTTGCCGGTGCTAGCGCTGTTCTCCAAAGACTAAACATATACAAAATCGTTGCCCAAGTTGATTCTTATCGTCCCTGCCATGCATGTCATACTTGGGTAAGTCACGGCGGCGTATGCTAGTTAATGCCAAGATATTAACTACGGCTCGTTCTGGCAGTGACAAATGGTTGGAACTTGGACACAAAGTTGACTCAACTAGCCAGCGAAATTGCTAGAAATTGCTTCTTCGTTAATTTCGGGGATTAAATCTGGAAAGCTTCGTTTGATTTTCAACTGCAATTGAAGATCTTCCATATACTTTTTTGGCATTTCGAATATAAGTAGTTGCCTTCACTTGAAAAGTTACCGAAGTGTGCTCGGCTTGCGAAATTTCTAATTATCTAGCCTGAATATTCACAGCAGGTTTATTTAAAGGCCATGACGTTTGCAAAACGATTCGTGTTATTTTGGATATTAATCAATAAAGGGTACTTTCAGCTATTTGCTCGATTTGGATGCGATTAAAACAAAGCGAAAATTATAACAAAGAACAATAAAAAAATCACTGTGCATTTTGAGACAAAGATGCCAAATAAATAGGTCTTGACTGGCATTGTTTTAACAAACAGGTGTCTCTTATTTTGAAAAATATTCCTCGATTGAGCAAGTAATTGGAGATGTAGAAAATTTGTGTGTATTTTAAGCATATTGCGAAGAAAGTTTTTAGCAAACTGGCGGTGTCTGGACTGGCATTCTAACTAAGTAACTAACTTGTTTTATTAATTCATAAATAAACACAAGTAGTAGCTTGCCAGCAAGCAATAGAGTAGTTCTTTCATCCTAAAAAGGGGGATTAAACATTCACTAAAATGCCAGTCCAGTGCGCATTTTTCTAGCACTTTTTGGTATTTCAGAAAAATAATAATAAATATTTATAATACATATGTGGGATGAAAGAGGCTCGCAGGCTAAGCTTGCTGTTATGGCGATTAATGGAGGCTTCGATTACTTCACGTTTTGGGACCAGCCTTGTGTTTTTTTTTTTCTGAAGGGCTAATGCAGCAGCCATTCTCTAAATCTAGATTTCGCACCTCCAGATGGCCATAATAATAATAGTCATTACGAGTACAACAGAATAATGACAGAAACATCCTGAGGACATTTTAGTTGTCCATTTCAAAAGGGACTAGGTCATATTTTTCGCTTAAATATACTATGTAATAAAATAAAGTAATTTTTAGGGCATTCAAGTTTCGACGTTTTCTTAAACAAGCAAATGTCTGTTTGCTTTTGACTGTCATTGAAACCGCGATAAAAAGCAACGGGCTCTGTATTAATTGGGGCGATAGATTGACAAAAATGTAAACATATAATTTTGCTATGTTCGTTAGAGGTTTACAAATTCTATAAACAGATAAGAAAGTGCAACTGGGGTGTGTGAGTGTTTATATTACTTATATACGAGTATACTTAGTGTATATACATATGTATATACTTGTATATTTGAAAATCAGTGCAGACTGATAAAGCTGTTAAATGTTTTCGCCATTCAGTTTTGCTTCCAGTTTATCTTGGAGCCGTTTTATTTACACCTGCCATCAATAAGTTGATAGATACGCTATTTTATCTACCTTGACATCGAAGCGCGGGAATTATTTTGGTCAGATAACAGAGCATGCAGACAGATACAGATAAGCAGAGTTTCTTGCGTGGAGTGGCACTGATAAGGGGTTCTTAAAATCTGTCAAGACCAACAGAAGGTCTCTGCACGATATTCATTGGAGGAAACGGGAAGGAGAAATGGCCAGAGTCCACAGCAAGCTTAGTTGTACACGATAATGTGTTAAAGCGTTGTACGACATTCGTTGGAAGTTACGTTTCAGATTGGAAATAGACGATGTCGCTATGTCGCATTTAACGATACTCGAATACATATTAATCAAATGCTATAAAAATGCTGATATATAGGCTTAACTACGATATAGGCAGACACACTGCCCCACTTTGTTTGCATTTGCGTGGAGACATTAAAATCATGATTAGGTTCGAGTAATATCACAAATTTAGATTAAAAGTTGTTTTCCATATTTATTATTTATTATTTAAATATTTATATCATTTAGGAACTGTGATTACAGTTCTCAGCAATTTAAAACATATTTAAATATTTTTTACTAACTTCTAGATACTTCTATCACTTATGTTTGTAATGATAATTACTGTTCTAAAGTCAAATGTTTTCGAAAAGCCCAAGTAATTTTGAAAATTTTTGAAATGCAGTTTTTGTCAGTTTTATCTTCTTGCTGCAAAATGATTCCTGAAAGCAATATTGGGGTTCGCAAAACAAAGCAAGCTTAACTAAAATAATAAAAATAAAATGAAATAAATAAAGAAATATACAGATTTTAAATAATACACACAGTCATACTGCACACAAACACAACCCGCATATACAAGCACATATCAATCAAATTTTTTAATTTTCATACCGTGTTGTATCAAGATCGTGTACAAAAAGACCGTGTAAAAACAGAATGTGGTGTACAAACGACATTAATGAGAAACCACAGTCAATAATTAAAGTTGCTAGAGTTTTGGAAG